GACTGACTGACTGATAATTCATCTTGCTAGATTGATATCACATCGAGTGCGTGCGTACACACTGAATTGTTGATATTCATAATTACTGATTAATAGTAAATCTCTATTTTATTTCATTTCATTTCATTTCATTCTCCAATAGATGTAACTCTAAATAAATCGGAATGTTCACATAAAGAAGACAATATGACATGTTGTACTGGTACTGGTTCATCAATTTCGAAACTTTCATGTCGACAATATCCATTTACAAGTAGAACATCATATTCTAGTGTTGTTAGTCGATCTTATGCAGTGCCAATGTCCACTTTGGAAATTAATCGTTGCCGTATTCATCGAGGTGAACAACCAGAATGTTGTGGTACACATTATAAACTTGGAGATGATGTTACATTCTTTATTGAAACTTCGGATGTGGAGAATACTTCAGTGGAAATACAATTCTATCAACAACATGTAGAGTTTGCAGGGAATACTGAGAGTGAGTTATCATTGCAGTATGTAATTAAGATATTGGGGAGGCGGGGTTGTGATGACGATATTTGAATTCGATTTTGTTTAAATCGAAACGAAACCAGTTGTCGAATTCATTGCTTTTTTAGTGTTGTGTGTCGGGCTCCGCCAGGAGTCCTTCTAGGGTTACTGCTGGTCTAAAGTCCGGATAAAGAGGTGGGGGGTTAGGCATGCGGTTAGCGACCCTATCCCGTAGAAAATCGATTCGCTAAAAAACGAGAGGCTGTAATCAATCGTTGAGAAATACCCAGCAAAGATTTGACCATTCTGATGAAAGAACCAAAACGCCAAGGTTGAGATGGGCAACACTGGATATGAAGGCATCATGAGACGAGATGGACTAGGAGAAAGGAACGAAAACAGCGAGAGATTCGGAAATCTATGTATCTTCAACAAAATGGTTATAGGTGTTACCATAGTCCACCACAAGCACATACAAAACGCTACATGGGTTTTGTCAGATCACTTAACCAAGAACCAAATCGACCAAATCTGCATCAATAAAACGTTAAAAGCAACATAACTTGCTGGTTGCTTAGATGGGACTGAAACTCAAGAAACACTAGACAACTGGTCGAACAGCATCACAAAACCTTAATACGGAATACTGACAAACTGAATGAATTCAAGATAGTTCTTAGCAGTAAGTTCAAAGCGTTTCACGATCTATTCAATAGAGAGGAGACTGCCATGGAAAACAACTAGAAAGAGATCAAGGGAGCAATAAATTCAGCATGTGATGAGGTTCTTGGCCACAACAATCATCATCAGAAGGAATAGATCTCTTGATAAGCTGGATAAGGAAGATAATTATCAATATCAGCCAAACAAGAACAGAGAAAGTCAAGGCACAAGCTGAATACGCAGAATCAAAAAAGCAAGTGAAGAGGGGTATCAGAGCTGACAAATTAAAATGTGTGGATGATCTAACAATCACAGCAGAAAACGCTTCAAGAGAAAAAAAATATGAGACAACTATGCGACACAATGAAGAAGCTTGCTTGCAAAGCAAAGAAAGCAAAGTAATCACTGACATTGACGAACAACGAAACAGGTGGGTAGACCACCCTATTGAGCACACTATTGAATCTGTCCAGCCCCACTGAACCCACCCAACAATGAAGCCACACCCACGGACATCCCAATTAATATTGACCCATCAGCAGTTGAAGAGATCAACATGGTCATCAGACAAATCAAGAGAGCCAAAGCAGCGGGATCAAACCGTCTGATGCACTGAAAGCAGACATACCAGTGACTGAAGAGATGTTCCATGCTCTGTTCACAAAGTTTGGGGGGAAGAACTGCTACCGAGAGACTGGAGAGAAGGATACTTTATCAATATACTAATGGAAGAAGACCTCAGCAAGTGTGAGATCTTTAGAGGCACTACTATCCTTTCAATACAAGGAAAGTTTTCAACAGAGTGTTGTTGAACTGAACGAAAGATTCCGTAAACGTCCAACCCTGAGATCAACAGGCTGAAATACGTAAGGATCGATTGTGTACCGACCTAATCGCAACACTACGGATCATTGTGGAACAATCAATTGAGTGAAATTCACCCCTCTACATCATTTTTATTGACTACGAGAAAGCATTTGATAGCATGGACAGTATGACACTATGGAGGCTTCGACATTATGGCGTGCATGAGAAGACAGTTAACGTAATTAAGAATTGTTGTGATGGAACTGCACTGAAAAATCGTTCATGGAGGACAGCTGACAGGCTCGTTCCAAGTGAAGATCGGTGTCAAGTAAGGTTGCTTACTCTCACTATTTCTATTTCTCCTGGTGGTCAACTGGATTATGAAGACGTCGACATCTGGAGGGGGGGGGAAGCACGAGATACAGTTGACAGCTTGGACGTAGCTGAACTATCTGAACTTCACACTTGTTCTAGCCTTCTTATCTCACACGCAACAACAAATATCCATCATTGACGTAATTTTAATTGACCGAATTAAGAAAACAATGATCATACCCCATGCAGAAATAGAAGTTCGTTTTAGCAGTTTCAAAACTTGAATTCCGTTTTCATAAAATCATTACTCATTTAAAAGTTTATAAACAGTAACAATAGTTTACAAACTCAGTTGAACTCCTTTGAATAAATCAGTGTGATATTAAGGCGGTGAAGTCGTACTGCTGACTGTAGAGTGTTGTGGCAGCATTAAGGTATTTCTCTCGGACAACAAGCATCTGTCTTCTCACAAGGAAGGAAGGGGTTAGAAAAGGTCGACTCTAAAAACATCACACCTCACCTTACTTCACGGATTTCTGTCTCTGGCAGTAAGGCCTTTTAAACAAGAACGGAGCTAACACTTTAAACACTACCCATAAAAAGGCCGTGAGTGACCGGCCTCAAGCAGTTATTCCTTGGGCTCTGCGGCCACGTTCTCAGGTCTCCAAGACCAACGCTTATCTGCCTTTATTTTCAGGTTCTTCAAGAAGCACCCTTCCATGGTGTGCGCAGCCGAGAAGTGACATCCGCCCTCATACTACCCGTAACAGCACACGTGACCAAATTGGTCACAATCAGTGTGTAATCTTCAGTTCAAAATAATTTAATGCAAGTTGATTGTACTGTACTCGTTATTGTGTCAAACCTTTACTAGTACTACTACTATCCAACCACCTAGATTAAATAAAACATAATGGAAAGCAAACTTGAATTATTATTAATTTATAAGAAATAAGTCATTGACTTATTTTCACCTGATCTTATATTTTTCTACTATACTTGTAGTAACTTGTGATTGTCATTTCAAAATCAATTGAAAATTAAGCATACATTGAATTCGGACATGTGTGCATTTGTCCTATTTTTGGGAACTTGTCAGCTCGATGGCCCTATATCTCAGTCAGTCAGTCAGTCAGTCAGCTACAACGTAGAACTTCGCATAGACATACAGCAGTTCAAGTTGTCATTTCACATAAGCACACAGCGACGCAGTTGTCGATTCAAATCACTTAATGATAGATGCAGTAGAACAACTATTAGTGACAATGGAGAAGATTAGGGTTGCAAGATTTTTATTGAAGAAGTATAATTCAGTGAGATAAATTTAGAAAGACAAAGGTAGAGGTGTTGAGCAATCCAGAAGATTAGGATTTAAGAGAACATAGTGAATGAATGCACCTGCGCCATTGTAAACGATTTTGAGCCATCTCATTCAAGGTCTCAGAGCCTAGGCGACAATTGCTTGAGGCCGGTCACTCACGGCCTTTTTATGAAAGGATTTTTTGAGTATTAACTCCTCTTAGAAGCCCTTAGTGGTCACCCTTACCACCGAAGACGGAAATCCGTGAGGTAGGTTGAGGTGTGACATTTTCATGGTCGACCTTTTCTAACCCCTTCCTTCCTTGTGAGAAGGTAGCATCGCTGCAGATGATGGTTGTGCGACGGAAACACCTTACTGCCGTCATATCCCTCGCCGTGAGACCTTGAGTAGCTGCTTTTAGTCTCATCGTTCTCCAATCGACCTGCCTGGCATGGTAGAAAACCTGCAGGAACATATGTTCCAGCCAATACAGCTCGGTTGGGTCATGACGATAGGCAATCCCGACCATCACGTTAAGGTGGCAGCTACGGTCGGGAGAAGATTATAGGGTTCGAGGATATAATTCAAGAAGTAGAATCTAGTTAAATAAACTTCAAAAGAGAAAGCGAAAAGTGATGAAGGATTCAGAAGATTATGGTTTGAGAGAACACACTTGCATCATTGCAAACGATTTTGAGCTATTTCGTTCAAGGTCTCTAACCATCAGTGACTTTCGTTTCGCGGACCCCAATCAAGTAGTCGACATTTACTATCATGGCTCACTGGACCACTAGTCAGTGACTTCATGAATTTGTGCCATGTTTTTGGTTCTGGACACCCGTAATTTTCTTCCAACCTACTCCTACACCACACAAAACATTAGCTCGACCAGAGAGAGAGAGAGAGTCGATGGTTGGGCATATATATACAACACATGACCGAAACGTAGTTATAATCCAAAGTTTAAATTGTTCTTGATCTATCTATATATATATAGTGTTGTTGTTCAACTCACTAACTAACTAACTGTTCAACAAACATCTTTCCATAACAAACACTTTTCTTATCTAACATTTTTATCATATGATCTTTTGAAAATTTTAAATAAAAAAAATTAACAATAATTATGTTTAAACAGTAAATTCCATTGTTCTGTGGTAAAACAAAACAAAAATGAAAAAGAACAACTAGTGCTTTTTCACTTCAAAAAAAACATCATCATCACTCTTGTACTTTTTCTAATTCACATAATATAAATAACAATGAACTCATTCAGTATAAGTAATTAGATAATAAATGTCACAAAATAAAACTGAAGCCGGAAGATTTATTATCACGATAATAATAATAGTAGTAATCAAACCGGTCATTCACAAAGAAAAAATTGAATTTTGAACAGAGATTTTTTCAAAAAAACAAACAAACAAAGTTTCATCAATTCAAAATTCATTTCTCTATCTATCTGTTGCCAAAATAGCAAGTGATTGATTGATTGTCTAAAACTTAACTTAAATGCCAAAGTTAACTTGAATGAAAAAAAAAAAACGATTCCAATAACTGAAGTCAAGTTTTTTTCTTTGTCAACTACAATGTAGAACTTGGTACGTATGTATGTGTTGTCATAAAATAGAGGTTGTAGCGGTAATCGAGATGAAAAAAAGGTCAGGAGAAATTCAGTCAGTCAGTCATTCAATCAGATGCAACGTAGAACTTCGTACGTAAGTAAATCTGTTCATGTCGCCATACCACATCAGCACAGAAATGTAATTGTCAATTCAAATCCAATAGAAGAAGAGTTAGTAAGGGTATTAGAAGTAATCAGAGAGGTTAGGATTAGAAGATAGTATTTAAGAAGCATGATTAAATGAGAAAAGCTTAGCAAGTCAAAACTAGGGTTGTTAAAGAATCCAAAAGATTAGGATTTGAGAGAACACAAAGAATAAATGCACCGGCGCCATTGCGAACGATTTTGAGCCATGTCATTCAAAGTCTCTAACCATTGGTGACTTTCGTCTCGCTGACCCCAACCAGGTAGTCTACATCTACCGACATGACTCAGTCCACTTATCAGTGACTTCATGCATTTCTGCCATGTTTTGATTTGGCCGCCCCTAGCTTTCTTCCAACCTATTCCTACACCACAAAACATAGCTCGTCGAGGCAGTCGGTGGTTAGACATACGCAACACATGTCCCAACAACCTCAATTGATGAAGTTTCAATACTTCATCTATTGATCTGCCATTCTTACCTAGCACCAGATTCCTAATAACAGCATTGCTCACTCGGGTGTCCCACGATATACGATCAATGCTTCGAAGACACCAATGATCGAAAACCAATAACCGACGAATATCTTCTACTCTCACTGACCATGTTTCACAGCCATAAAGTAAGACGGAGAGAACTACTACGCAGTACACTCGTCCTTTAGTCAGCAAACGGATATCTCGCCTACGCCATAAGTAACGCAGGTTGGCGAAAGCCAATCGCGCCTTCTGTATCCGAGCTGAGATTTCGTCAGTCACCAGGCTATCAGCACTGATGAGACTCCCCAGATAAGTGAGGTGGTCAACACGCTCGACTACTTCACTCCCTATCACTAGTTCAGGTGCCAATGCAACCCAATCTTGAACCAACATTTTGCATTTCGAAGGTGAAAACCGCTTAAAGTCATAAAGCTCATAACCAACTCTCAATCAAATTTCTAACTTATAACCCAATATTACGCATAGCCAGTAGAAGAATATTTTCAAGGTCACTTTAGCATTGCTCAAACGCCGTTCATAATTAATAAAACCAATCCTGAATGCCTCGATATCGCCACTAAGTCATAAGCCCTGTAAACAAAGTTAGATAATAGCAAGAAGTTAAATTCAAGAAGTGTGATTGGTCAGTTGAATGTATCTACGACCCCGTGTTGATGTTTACATGGGGACTCGAACCCAATACTGCTTGATCTGAAAACCTAACGAACCAATCACCCGAAAATTGAAATTACCAATAAAGGTAGACTGTCTGAATTCGCCATATCCATATATATTCATCAGTTCAAGTTCTCCAGTGGAGCCAGTTATACAAGGTTTACAATTCAGTAAATCTCTCATCGTATAGCAGAACAACATCTATCCCGGCTAAGCAAATGACAGGTAAGAGTCATTAGGAGTTCGATACTCAATCATTTAGTGAAAAAAGGAAATCACATTGACATGAATATGGCTTTAACAGTCATTCATCATATTCTATCAAATTTACCTACAAGGTTTATGAATTCGTCTTTTTGAATATTACTGCATCTACTAGTTATCTTCTCTTCTAAATTCTAATCTTTTGAATTCCTCCCGGTCTCATCAATGCCGATGGCCTGGTTTGTGACGAAATCTCAGCTCGGATACAGAAGGCGCGATTGGCTTTCGCCAACCTGCGTTACTTATGGCGTAGGCGAGATATCCGTTTGCTGACTAAAGGACGAGTGTACTGCGTAGTAGTTCTCTCCGTCTTACTTTATGGCTGTGAAACATGGTCAGTGAGAGTAGAAGATATTCGTCGGTTATTGGTTTTCGATCATTGGTGTCTTCGAAGCATTGATCGTATATCGTGGGACACCCGAGTGAGCAATGCTGTTATTAGGAATCTGGTGCTAGGTAAGAATGGCAGATCAATAGATGAAGTATTGAAACTTCATCAATTGAGGTTGTTGGGACATGTGTTGCGTATGTCTAACCACCGACTGCCTCGACGAGCTATGTTTTGTGGTGTAGGAATAGGTTGGAAGAAAGCTAGGGGCGGCCAAATCAAAACATGGCAGAAATGCATGAAGTCACTGATAAGTGGACTGAGTCATGTCGGTAGATGTAGACTACCTGGTTGGGGTCAGCGAGACGAAAGTCACCAATGGTTAGAGACCTTGAATGACATGGCTCAGAATCGTTTGCAATGGCACAGGTGGATCCAATCTTTGCGTCGTTTTTAATTCTAACCTTCTGAATTCCTCCTAATCGGGTGTCCCACAATGCGGGAGCAATGCTTCGAAGATACCTATGATCGAAAACCAGTAACCTACGAATATCTTCTACTCTCACTGGCCATATTCCACAGCCATAAAGTAAGACGGAGCGAAATACTGCGCAGTAAACCAAGTAGATAACTGTTAATCAATACTTGTGTCTTCAAGATGATGGCCACGGTAGTTTTCCTAGTTCTCCGCCCCCGCCCCCTCGCCCCATTTCGAAATGTAAACAATGTGATTATTGCTTTTTCTTTTTAACTTTTCTCTTTTCTATTTAGATTCATCCAATCCATTGAAATTTATTGGTTCAGCTCGTTTTGGTCCATTTGTTGATACATATGGACGTAAAGCTGCACAAATTTTAAATTCAACATTAACTCCAGTGGGTGATCTTCGAGGTAACTGATAAGAATTGTATTTTTTTTCGTCATTATTTCCAGTGATTATTATCATTAGATCACCATCATTCGTAACCTGGGAGTATTGAATGACAGCTGTTTCGTTCTAGTATGAGGTTGCGTTGATACATTAAATTGATTGTGGTGGTGGTGTTTGGTTCTCTGAACTGGATGTTTTGGTTGTGGAGCTTTCATTGTTCTTCTTCTGAACAACAACATCATCAGCACAAACTTCAGATAGCAGAAAGTGAAGTATTCGAATTTCTCCACATTTGACCTGTAGCTTGTTCTACTAACCAATCAAGATCGAGGTTAGCATAACGAGCTACAGACAAATCGTGGAAAAATTCAAATAATTCACTTCTATCTGAAGTTTGTGCTGATGATGATGTTGTTGTTCAGAAGAAGAACAATGAAAGCTCCACAACCAAAACACCCAGCTCAGAGAACCAAACACCACCACCACAATCATCCACCTGAGCTACAAATCTTCTCCACCATCTCACAATCGATTGATTGAAGTTAGACAATAACACCGTCAGCCATCGTAAGTATAAGAAAAGAAGAAACTAGGATGTAGGGTGAATCAATACATGCAATCAATGAGTGTTGTTAGACTGAGAGATGTGTCGGAAGATGCTGTCTTACCTAATATCCCTATGCATAATCACAATTATTGTTTGACTATGTTTATTGAAGTGATTCAGTAGCGATCACAGAGATTGGTATACATCCTCATATTTATTTAATAGTTGCACTGTGAATTTAAATTTCTTATTTCTTAAATTAATTGTTTCTTTACACAATCAATTCTTCATTGTTTAATCTTTTTCTCTATTTTTAACTGCTTCATTATTCATTGTGTTAATATCAAGTATATATACTAATAATAGTAATAATAATAATAGCAAACTCGGTCATCTGAAACGTGGAAATTCATAGGTTAGTACCTATGTACTACATCAATTCAAGTTGCCGTAGCACATTAGCACGGAGAAATGAAATTATCAGTTCGAATGCCGTAGTGTAGTAGAAGGTGTAGTATTAGTAGTATTCACGGTAATGGAAAAGTTTAGAGGTACGAGATATGATTTGAGAAGTATGTCCTAGCGAAATTAATTTATAGAGAGAAAAAAACTGTTATGAGGAACTCAAAAGATTAGGATCTGAAAGAACACAAAGAGTGGATGCACCTCCGACCGTAGTTGTTACCTTGACGTGGTGGTCGGACTTGCCTATCGTGATGACTCAACCGATCTATATTGGCTGGAATATATGTTTCTGAAGGTTCTCTACCATGCCACGCAGATCGATTGGAGAACGATGAGACTAAAATCAGTTACTCAAGGTCTGAGAGCGAAGTCGTACTGCTGATTGTAGAGACCTGTGACAGCAGTAAGGTATTTCCCTTGGACAACCAGCATCTGCAGCGATGCTGCTTTCTCATAAGGAAGGAAGGAAGGGGTTAGAAAAGGTCGACTCTAAAAACATCACATCTCACCTTACTTCACGGATTTCCGTCTCTGGCGGTAAGGCCTTTTAAACAAGAACGGAGCTAACACTGTAATGATTTTGAGGTATGCCATCCAAAGTCTTTAACCATCGATTACTATCACCTTGCGCACGCTAACCAGGAAGTCCATACCCACCAACATGACTCAATCCTTTTGTTATCTGATGAAGACTGACTACTTAATCAATTGATCTACTTTCTTTACCTTATAGCAAACTCATCTGTTTTTTTATCTCTCTCTGTGTCTCTCTTGTAGTACGTTATCTTATTATCTATCCAATGAATAAACCACTTAATCCAAGTTTAGAAGTCACTTATCAACATCATTGGAAGAAACGTGCATCTGCTGTGGATATTGGTCATCGTGGTGTTGGCACATCATTTTTTCAACCAGAAGAAAAACAATATAAAAGGTATTATTATTATTATTTTTGTGATAAGTTTAAATTTCCTATATATTTCAATGATCAATGTATTGTCCTGTTTTTTTGTTTGTTTGTTTGACAATCCACCAGTCAATTGTAACATTGAACTTGGTACATATTATCTATCAGTTCAAATTGTTATACCGCATAAATATAGACAGATGAATTTTTTATTTTCAGTCTGTGAATCTCTAGAGTAGTTAGTAGAGATTGTAATTGTGTATTTTTAGCAAAGAGCGAGTATTAGACATTGAAAGTGTCAATAAAATGAACGGAAATTATCAAGAATTTAGAATTTGGAACAAGACAAGCAATGAATTGGTGGGCGCCATTGTACACAACTTTCTTTTTCCTTAGCCGTGTCATTCAAAGTTTGTAACCACAGGTTACACTACTATCATGTGGACCCTAATAATCAGGTGTATACAGTTACTAACATGGTTTAGTTCAATAAATCAATGACTTTATGGACTAGTGCTATGCTTTGTTTTATCTGCCCCCAGCTTACTACTATGCTTGCGATAGAGCTTTTGTTGGGAGGACGGTACAAGAGGATAGAAAAAGACTCAACCGGAAAATCATCTTTATTTAAGTGTTGTCTTCTTTATAGTTGAAATTTTCCATCTTATTATCTTGATCAAATTACTTGGATAATAATCGGTTTCGATTTTCGAACTTCTTTGTGTACCAATCAAGTTAACTTGTTTTGGCTAATTCATTGACCGTAACAATAAATAAATTGAAAACAGTGTATGATAGAGTTTCGTACTGTGAACTGGATAGTTTATATGGAGGGCTTTCATTCCTCGTCGAATTCCTCCACATATTACTTTCCGCTCATCCTAACGACCTCGATCTTAATCGGTCGTTATTGATCTTTTAGCTGCCGTTGTTTGCCACCTTATTTTGATTCTATCTCCCTTTGATATGATTCTTGACTCTATGCTTGCCTGTGATTTTTCTGATTGATTAATAGATTGCATCAATGTTAATATGTTTGTGTTGATGATGTTGTTTAGAAGAAAAAACAATGAATGCTTCACAAGTAAACGTTCCAGGTCAAAGAATAAAACTCCATTATAATCAAATTTTCTCTGTGATCTCTAGGTGTAACTCACATGAAACATTTTTATTGAAATTATGAATCAATCATGGTTAGACCACCACCACCAGAAACTTGGAAGCATTGAAAGGCGGCCATTTCATCCTACTATGAGACTGTTCATCAGCAGTACGCACCCACGAACCCTACTCGCCCGAGTCCGAAGGTCCTACATTAGACCTCCGCCTGCTGGTATCGTGGATTCACACTGCTGATAAGTCCTCCACACTAGGACAAAACAGCCGCCTTCTAGTACTTCCATGTTTTGTAATAGTGGTCTAACAATGATTGATTCATAGTTTCAATGAAATTCAACTACTCCATAATGATGAAAATCATGAAGATTTTTATTATGCTATAAGAGATTGATACAGTTTCTACGTAAAAATACGTAAGGAATAACAGGAATCATTGAAATTTGATTTATTTACAACAGTTTAATGTATCAATATGTATTGGTGATTAAAAATAGGGTTTCAATTTTTAAAAAAGAAACTTGTCATTATGACATGACAAGACAAAAAAATTTGTGAAACTAGATCAGGTCACTAAATTGTTTTTGATATTTTTTATCTAGTATGACAGATGTGTGAACTGTGTGATGATGTTATTTTAGGTCAATATATTTTGAATCTGTAATTTTCATTATCGGCTTATGAAGATGGATGAGTATCACTGAAATCGTGAATCGACCATGGTCGGACTACCATTAAAAACTTCGAATTACTGAAAAATGGCCGTTTCGTCCTAGTATGTGAATCATCAGTGCGTATCCAGGACCTTCGGTCTCACGCGCGACCGCCTAACCTATAGACCTCACTGAGCTTGCATCCAACGATGCTGACTTCAATCGAATGTCTTCGGTGGGCATTGCTTCACACCCGACAGGGTTGAATTGCACCCTAGTCATGGCTTCTCACTAGAACTCAGTAAGAATTCTTCATGGAGCTAGTCAGTAGTAAGCGCACGGCTGATGTGTGTCCTATACTAAGACGAAACTGGTCATTGAGTGCTTCCAACTTTGTAATGCTGATCTAATATTGATCGATTCATCATTTCAACGAATTTAGATTTTAGGTCACTGTATTTTTTGTATCCTGTGATCGTTGTCCAATGTGATAAGTTTGAATTTTTGTTGTAATTGTCTTTTGTGTTTGGTAATAGACCAATCATTTGAAATCTATATTCCTGAAGTTTTTTGTGATTCTTCATTCAAGTCACTTCTAATAAATTTACCCAAAAAACAATGAACAGGATAATTAGGAGTCAGTTGCAGCGTGGAACTTCGTACGTATGTACATCAGTTCAGCTTGCCATACCACATTAGCACACAAAGATGCAGTTGTCAATTCAAATCCCATAGTAATAAAGATAGTAGAGGTATTCATCGTAATGAAGAAGATTAGGGTTCGAAGATATTATTCAAGAAGTATAATTCAGTGAGATAACATTAGGAAGAGAAAGGTAGAGGTGCTGATGAATCCAGAAGATTAGGATTTGAGAGATCACAACGAATGGATGCATTTGCGCCATTGCAAACGATTTTGAGCCATGTCATTCAATGTCTCTAACCATTGGTGATTTTCGTCTCGCAGACCCCAACCAGGTAGTCTACACTTACCAACATAACTCAGTCCACTTGTCAGTGACTTCATGGATTTGTGCCATGTTTTGGTCTGGCCGCCCCTAACTTTCTTCCAACCTACTTCTACACCACAAAACATAGCTGGTCGAGGCAGTCGGTGGTTAGGCATTCGTAACACATGTCCCAACCGCCTCAACCGATGAAGTTCCAATACTTCATCTACTGATCTGCCATCCTTATCTAGTACTCGTTCCCTAACAACAGCATTGCTTAACTCGGTTGTCCCACGATATACGAGCAATACTTTTTTGTGTTGCTTAAGTGTTTCTTTGTACAGTTGTTGAAATTTCATGACAAGTCTTTTTAATACATAGAATACATCACAATGCATACAACCTAATTTGTGGGCACAATTTTGTGTGTGTATGCAACAAATGATCTTGTCTGTAAATTTTAACCAAAATGTTAACTAAGAATATTGGTTGTTTTTATTGGATTATTAGGTCTTTCCCTTCTGAATAGATTCATGATCAGGGAAATCTCCTCACTGAATAGATGTGTAGACATGTAGTCAATGTATCGATTTAAATGTGTTTGTCTCTTTTTATATATGTATATATTAAAGAATCTATCTCATTGTGAATATCAGAACAACACACAGATATAAGCGAACAATGTGGTTGTTTTGAATTAGATCGTCGTCATCAGGTTTTACTCTCTCTCTCTCTCTCTCGAATACACATGAATGATTTATGATGAAAATGTTAAACCAATCAAATCAATTTATGAGTCAATAATCACAATGAAATGAACTAGATTACTTCACTACACATAACAGGTGGAAAAGTACAAGTTGATAATAGTAGAAGAAGACAGGTGTACTGATAATATTGTGGTAACAATGATAAAATACGATAACAAAAGTTTTTGTCAACGTAGTTCAACATTGGATGAAGTAGTGTAGGTCAAATGTGGATATAAATAGACTTAAAATAATCATTACAAAACAATAAAACTATTATGTAATAAGAAGTGTGTAACAATAATTAGATAGTGAAGAAGAATATAAACGGAACAAGGCCAGAAAAATTACAAACAGCTACAATGCTAATGATAACAACAGATAAAAATGTAAACAAGAAGTTGAAATTGTTTATTTTAGTCATATCCAGCCAAAGAAGGGACAGAGATGTCACATAAATTGTGGTTGAATGTTCGGATTCCTATAGTTTCTGTTATATTTAACGGATGATATCAAATGCTGTTGGGATTTAATGGTCGCATGCAATAGATCACTCGAACACAATCCACATTTATCTACAATATGACGACTATCAATCGGATGTGTCAAGATAGAACTGCGTATTGTTCTTATCTGGCCATTGATTGGTTTGACATTTTCATATAAGTTTTCATGTGTATTATTCAAGTAAAGCCTAATAATGACGAACTAATTGAAAACAAGACTTTAGTTGGCTTATATCTGTGTTGTTATTTATCTATGGTGAAATCTAAATTTACTATTAGAATTTTTCCCAACTAAACAGTCTAACAAAAGTAGTTCACTACATTTGTCTTCATTTTCGTTTAGTGAATTTGAGTGTTTTGTTTAGAGAATGGGTTCATCAGTTTGGCGGAATTTTCAAATCAATGTGATCACGCAAAATCCCTAGATTGATCAGAGTAAGACATTTACACCGTTGGATGCCGACCCAATGGTCCAGAGGTTAGGCGTTGGCGCATAAGACCGAAGGTCCCTGGTTCGAATCCTGTGAGTAGCAGGAGTCGTGAATGCACACTGCCACTGATGAGTCCCATACCAAGACTTCCCGATTTCTGATGGTGGTTTAACAATATGTAAAAATCTTCAGTGTGTGTTTTTCCGCCTATGTATGCATGCATAGATAGAGTTACCGAGTAAAAATCAATATGAAAATCAAAGGTGCATCTTGTTTTTATTGTAAAAAAAAGTCAGTAAAAGATGTAAGAATTGATAAAGCTTGAAAACGCGTTAGTTTAATGTAAAAAATTTTTTTCTGCTTAGTAAAGATTCAAAGAAAAATCCATAGATCTTTAAAAAAAAATCATCTAATATGGGCTTTTTTTCGCCTACAAAATTACAATTCTATTAGGCTGTTCGATCAAAAACTATTTCAATAACAGAGATATAAGAAAGTGAAATTTTCTCCTCTCTCTCTCTCTCTCTATACAACATATTGACTTTGTCTATAACAATCTGAACGTAACTAGCAACTTATTCAGTTAGTAAAGTTAATAGCAGTAAACTTTTCTAAAAATAAA